GAGGGGCACTGCGTGGCCGGCGTCGAGCTTCAGGGACTGGATGTGCCCGGCGAGGCGCGAGGACACGCTGTCCAGCTCCGCATGCGACCACTCGCCGTCCCAGGCGTACACGGCGGGGCTGTCCGGCGCCTCGGCAGCCTTGCGGGACACCACGTCGTGGAGGCACACGTCGTGCCTCAGAGGCGGCGCCGAGTTCCAGCTCTCGATTTCAGAGCGGTCTTCCGCCGTGACGATGTGGAGTTCCTCGAGAGGCTTCTCCACGGCATCGTGTTGGAACTGGACGATCAACAACCCCAGCTGCCGCAGGAAACGGGACACCTGTCTGGCGTCAAGGACGCTTGGGTCGTATCTCGCAAGCATCGAAGCCGAGTCCTCGGCCATGTGGCAGTGAAGTAGGAGGGCGCGATCCAGGCAGGGTGTGAATCTGTCCGATCCTAGGGCGGTCCGACGGAGCACGGGACTCGACACGGCCGAGAAATCGTCACGACCGTGCTCGGAGGATGTGACCGCCAGCACGGTCTGAAAACCACACGCGGCGGACCCGAACTCCCCGGCGCCGCGGACGCTATCTAAGCCGGCGTGCTCGAACTCGCGAACGGCTGCATCGTGGGCCGCCACCGCCCGAAGAAGGTCCGAGGCCGGCTGGTGAGGGTCGCAAAAGACACGGGTGGGCATCACGGTCCGCGTCGGGCCGGGGAGCAAGGATGGCTGCCCCTCGGGATAAGCAGGCGGCCTCTCGACGGCGACGCCGAAGAGCGCCTCCGAAGCATGCGTGTAGCGGGCCAGGAGGACCGCGAGCGCCGCGCGGCAAACGGCAGCGTTGTCCCAGTCCCTTTGGACGGGGACCTTGTCGTAGGCGATGCTATGATCAGCCTGCGCGCCAGGCCGGGGTTTGTTTAGGTGCGAAGGCAAGGCGGGGAACGAAGAGGCATCCAGTTGGTCAAAGTGGCGCCGCCAGAAAGGGGCCGCGTCCGCCGGCGCGGCTGCCAAACCGTCGACTTGTGGCCCGGCCGCCGCACCAACGGCATTGCGGGCGGCGGCATCGTCGCCCGAGTAGACAGCGAGAACTCTGCTGAGGACGTTGTCCTGCAGGGAGCTGTCCACCACGGCGTGACTGAAGGTCCACAGCAACAACCTCTGCTGCTTCATGCCCGGACCCTCGAGCAGGGCGTACCGGGTACCATGCTTCTCTGCCGCCGCGGCCGCGACCTCGGCCTCGACGAAGACTTCTCTCTCGTCCGGCCGGTTCGAACGGACCCACGCAAAGTCCTCTGACAACACCGCCTGGTAACGGGCTCCAGCCCCGTAGGTGAAGATGCGGGTGCGCAAGGCGGGCGTCTGGCGCGTGACCTCTCTCCATGCCGCGGCCAGACGCTCGAGGTCGACGTCTTTTCCGATCTCAAACACCGCGTGGCCCATGACGCTCCGTTCGTCGCCGGCCGTCCACTCCATGATATCGAGTTGAGACGGGGTGCAAGGCAGCGTCATCTCGATCTTGCCCGGCGCAACGCCAAACTGCCGAGCTGCCTCCAAGCGCAACGCGCTAGGAGGCTCGGGAGACGCTCCGTCCGTGACCGAGGTCCCATTGATGGTTGGTAACTGTGGTATAGAGGCCATTGTTGCGTACGAACGATATGTTGTTTGGGGGTATTGTCGGTTTGTTTTGGGAACAGTGTGGGAACTTGGTCTTGGGATCTTTTGGTTTGTTTTTTGGTTGTTTTCAAAAAAGGAATCTTCTGATCTGTATGACTTTGTATGATGGAATATTCGTATCCAAGACTCTGGTAAGCTCTTGAAGGTCTCCAAAAAGTCAAGAGCCCTCGTCCTTACAGTTTGGCCTGTTGAGCATCTCATGGTAACCGCTTCCAGCTAAGTATTTACAAAGCCACGCAAGACATGTCTGCACGAGGGCCGGTCCGAATGTTGCTCATTCCCAGCCGCACACTAGTCCCATCACCGTTGCAATCATATTCCTTCACGGTTGGCAAAGATGGATGGCAGCCTGTCTTACACGGGGGTTTGTTGAATGGGGATACACATCCCCACCTTCCTCGTCGTGATCGACTGGAGGCGTACGGTTGGTTGGTCGAGGGATAGGAATGATTGCCGCCACAAGATTTTGGATGAATGACTTGTCACTATTCCCTTAACTCGGCGTGAAGAAACGAGGTCTCGTGATTCTCTCAAGCCAATCTCTGGAATTCTGCCCATTTTAACACGATCTTGGCCAAGTGCGTCTTGGCACTGGCCCCATGTGTTACGAGTTTGGCCCAATATCTATCGCGTAATTGAATTTCTAGGGCCTAGTATTCCTTAAGAAATCTCTAGTGCTACATCTGTTGTCCGCCTCGTTTGTCAGCATATAATGCCACATAGCGTAAGCCGAGGCCAAACATCGCGCAAAGCAATGGCTGGTTGTAAATCGACGAAGGAGGGCTTTGACATGTCCTCGTACCTATAGAGAACCAACGACCAACACCCTCGCCCCCCCCTTAAACTTACCGTTCTGAACGGCAACAACACTTGCAAGTGAGCCTTGACTAAACTTCGAGGTCTACTACAAATGTTCAAAGTCTCTGTAAGTGCTACAGTGGCGGCGTTGCCATGGTAGGGGGGTTTATTCACCTCCTGGGCCCAATTAGCCGCCAGCCAGTCAATTAGTAACAAGCGGTAACCAGCAGCCTCCCTCGGATGGCATCTTCACGTAGTGAGACATTCTTGTCCTGCCAAGATGGCTTCGACGTTTCCTCCTTAGGTCCCCAATGACCTCACTTGAGACGGGCTACCCACCTAGCCGCGAATAGCACACAAACAACCCCGCCTTCTTTTCCGAAACAACGCCCCGGCCCGGTCTCGGATGATCTTGGCCAGCAGCGCCAGTGGCCCCTTTGCTCTTTACAGACCTCCCTACATTCGGATACCACATGCCTCGCTAGTGAACCAATGGACCCGATTAGGTAATTTTCCGCGGGAAAGAATGCTGCCGGGACCGCGATCGTCTTACGCACATTACGGTGCATATGTCCAGGGTGGCATGAGTGGGATTCGGCGACATGTAATCATCATCACATTTATTGACGAATATGAGGTAATTGTACTGGGAATGACGCAACTTCAAACCGACTACACCCAATATCCCGCTAGGATTTCATGTGTCTTTCATCCAACTGTCTTGGTTTGTGTCACGGGCGTGACATGCCTCCTCCAGGGATGCTCCTCCTTGAAGCCCAGCATCCTCTGGATCTTGGCGTTGGAGATGGGCGCCTCGCGGTCGCCCATCTCTCGTGTGAAGGGCGTCGAGGGGCTCACCCGGGCGAGGAAGTCGGGCGTCCTCTCGTTGTTTGTCATGTCATTGTTGGTTGCGTTGTAGACCTGCCAGCCCAGGCCGTCAGACGACAAACACAGGTGGCACATCTGGCCGAGGTCCCGGAGGTCGGTGTAGGACCAGCCGTGGACGTCCCAGGCCTCGGGTCGGGCGAGGTAGGCGCCAAAGGCCTCTGGGTAGCGGTCGGGCTCGACGATGGCTCCGATGCGGAGGCAGTAAATGTCGACGCCAAAGCGGCTAGCGTAGCTCCGGGCGACCGTCTCACCGAGGAGCTTCGATAGAGCGTACGGGTCGGTGGGGTTGCACTCGGTGGTCTCATCGATGGGGAACTGGGTGTAGGCGCGGCTGCCCTCGGCGAAGGTGACGCCGTAGACGGTGATGCTGCTCGCCAGGGTGATCTTCTTGATGCCCAGCTTGCAGGCGGCCTCGACGACGTTGTGTATGCTCACGATGTTGGTCCGGAAGACCTCGTTGTCGGGGGCCAGCAGCGGGCGGGCATAGCCGGCGAAGTGGATGATGGCGTCGGGCACGGACGACTTCTCCAGCGGCTGGGTCAGGTGGAGCTGGGTGTGGAGGGCGCTATAGACCTGACCGGCGTCTGTCACGTCGCACTTCATCGTGTGGACAAAGGGGTTGTCAAGCGGGACAATGTCAAGGTTGACGACATCGTGGCCGTGCCGCAACAGCTCTTGGATTACGTGAGGGCCAATTACACCGGAGCCACCGGTGAAGATGACCCGTTTACCCATGGTGGCTTGTTATTTTTGGCTCGATAACGGAGACAGACTAAAATGAAGAGGGGTGTTTGCAGAAAAGAAGAAAAAAAAGTCGAAGAAAAGCACCAAACGATGGTAAGGGCTTCGGGACATGTATCTCTGATACCGAGGGCGTTCCGGATGAATGGCGTTGAGAGATACTACTTCCCACCGGGATGAAGGAAAGGCTGGGTAATAAACACTCGAGACCTAGACGAATGCCTCCAAGAGTGCAACAATGATTTCGAATACCGGGTTATGCGCCGATGAAAGCGCCTGTATGAACGCTTTTGGCTGGAAGCAGATATGCAAATATTACATGATTGCAATATTATCATTTGATCAGCCGTAGTGCGCCGCCCTCTCCCTTTCAGCTGGAGAGAATAATCCATGAACAATACATCTCCCTATCATCTCCTTCGTGCGACTGGCGCAATCTAGTCGCTGCGCGTGTTCGACATGTGTAAGACACAGAGTTCCTCGTGCTTTTCAGCAATAGTGCAACTTATTTATCAACAAAACCAGTTTAGGTAATTAGGGAGGAGTGACGTTCCAAAACGGGAAGTCCTCATGTATGGAAGTGGGGCAGCCCGTGCACGGACCCTCGCTTTGGGACGCTATTCAGCCCTATGTCATTACGTAAGCAGCAGGACCCCCACTTGTCGCAGCCGAGGTACAGATACATGGCGGTCCCTCTTGGGGTCGCACAGGTACACAGTAGTGACCATATGCAGTACGGATACCAGGGTACCGGTACATGTGCAGATCTGTCAGCATCTCATCTCGATACACTTGTATAAACAGTCTGATTAGTCATCTTGGATAGAACCGACAATGACCTGATAGGGTACGTATCTCCCACATAGGGTATGTTCGTACGTGGATTCTCTACTGGCTAGTCTCGTTGACTCTAATTGCCAAGCAACTTATTGAGTTGAACCACGCGAATGGCCTCGCGATACGAAGCATATTCCAGTTTCAGCTTTGACGGCTGTTGTGAGATCTACTCTACCATGTGGCAACACCATGTTGTCCTCCTGGAGCACGTACATACAGTCAGTCAGTCATTATGGCCTTAATTTTAGGAGTGAGTAGACTATAGCCAAGGGAGCTCTAGCATCACATTTTCGTTTCGTCCCAAATGGTTCTAGCAACTAGGTAAACTACACAATACGGTTGAATTGTAATTAAAGGCCGATCACCCGCATTCAAGAGCATACACATACATACCGGCATCAAACACCCACTACTCATACACTCCGTGCGGACCCAATTCCCTGCATCAAGACATGCTATGCATCTGGAAGTCTCCTTGCTGCTTGCCTCTCTTCTTCAGATTCTTCGACTCCTTTAGGAACGGGAAATACACGTATGGGTGGAAAGCGGTGACGGCGCCAATGGCAATGAGCATCATCGCGCTGTCGAGGCCCAGGAACAACGGCTCGTTACGCAACACGTCCATAGTGATGGCAGGGATATTCTCCGCGATACTTGCAGCACAGTTATGTCAGCAAAACCAAATCATTACGAGGTAGGGGCGGTTATCCGATCAACGTACCGATACGCGCAGCGGACTATGATTGCAATGTATGCCACCGCGAGAGCATACACAAACGTGCGCACACGCTTCGCTTCTGCATCAGATGCCGCCTCCCGGGACATGGGCTGGGCGTCGCGCTCGATGAGGCGAGCCTCGTCGCGGGGCTGCCAGCCGGATGCGAGCGCAGACCTGCGTCTCGCCATGTAAACCACCATGAGCAGCCCGCAGCAGACCATGTTCGCCACCTGAAAAGCCACGCCGCCGATGATGAGCTTCTCTCCGATCGCGGCCATCGCCTCGTCGCTCGAGCCGAACGCCTTGGCCGCCGTGATGGCGCCCCCGCCCACCTGGATGACGATGGAGAGAAAGTCCGTCCCGACAAACACCCACGGGTACAGCGATGGCCGGAGGACGGACCACCGCGCGCCGTACCAGATGACAATGTGCTTGAACGTGACGGAAAGGGCGGCCGCGACCAGGGTGGGTGCCAGGAGTAGCGTAAGGTACTGCTGCGCGAAGGCGTTCAGCTCCCAAGGGTTGTCCGCAAGCTTCGCTCGTCCCCAGTACCCCAGGACTTCGAAGATGGTGCCGATGCCGAGCCAAATGATGAAAGACCACGTCCGAGACCGCATTCCAAAGTACAGCTGGAATATAAAACACGCGCCAAAGGCGATCCCGAAAAACGTTGCAGCCGGCTTTGACAAGTAGGTTCCGTAGACCGTCAGCTCGACTGGACACTGGTAGGTCACCTCATCGCAGGTGTCGTACGACGGGACAAAGGTATGGTTGGTTGACATGGTTGTACGGAGAGCAACTTGAGGCCGTAAAGAGCACCGGGTTAGATTCCTTATCAAATCAATCTCTCTCTGTGTATGGGAGGGAGGTGAGATTTTGGATTTCTCGAGGATTTGTTCACTGTGATAGCTAGAGGACAATCGGTCGTATTTAAAATTCGACGAGTACTTTAACCCTTACAAACACAGAAAGCCTAACACATACAGCCAAGATTGAGATGCCCGTTTGTTGAACCTCATAGAGACAGCTTTTTGCTCATCTTGCATCTCGCAGAATTACGAGGTCGCAATGTTTCGAAAACTGATGTCTATTGAGACGTTGACGGGGCATTGCCATGTCGAACGGAGGGACGGCTCGCGAGCGAGCCTATCGACAGAACATGACGCCGTCAGAGAGATGCGAAGCCACGCTTGGCGATGGATGTCGGGCCACTAAATTCTTCCGCCCGCAGCTCAGCGTCCTCTGGGTAACGATCGTTCAGCCGTACTAGGAGCCGCAGCAGAGGATTGCCGTTGGCCCAGGACAGGAGGCAGGAGAGACTTTTCAGCAGATCCATCTACCTTGCTTTGCCAAAGCACCCTCATAAGGAAACCAATAGCTCCAGAGAACTAACGTCCTATACAGCCCCCCTCCCTCTCCCTCCTCCCGCCACCATCCACGCAGAGACCGTGAATTGTGTATGGAGCATTCCTGCCGTCCGCGCGGGGGGGGGGGGGGGGGGGGGGCAGCGGAAGCGAGGGTGAGAAGACTGTGAAGAGAGTGAATCAACGCAGCGGCTTGTCACGCCAACCGCCATGTCAACGGTTACCCCAGGAGAGACAACATAAGCAAGCGTGATTTCCGTCGACCCAGACATACGCTGATCGGAGCAAGTTTCAGTGTATAGCGCTAGAGGTACCCTTCCCCCCTCGCATAGACTACCCTAGGCGGCATCTGCCGCTCATAGAAATCGATTCTCATCAGAACCATCCTTGGCGGGAAACTTTCGGGCCCTGAAAAGTTTCCGGCCCCGCCATCATCCCTCGCTAGATGTTTAGCTCTTGAGATACAAACGGCCGAGGGCTGTTGGCGGTTAGGCAGCGCTGCGTGAGACATTGTTCCATATTGTGGCGCGCCGTGCCGTGCCGCTCTCGCCCAAGGAATGCATGCCACGCCAGATTCTATCAAGGCACCCAATATGGTCCACAAAGTACGCCTCGGCCTTTAGACTCTCGACCTCCCGTCCACAATCTCACAGCCCCTCCCGTCCGCGCCCGCCCCCTTCCACCTCGTAGACAGCCTGTGGAATTCGGCGGCAGGGGGGTTCATCGTTGCCTCCCTCTTCGTCTTGTCTTTCAACAACATTTCGTCCTCGTTTCCCATTGTTTCTCGGGCCACTTCGAAGATACCGGGCATGGGCACACTGCAAGCTCGAGACCCGGCCTCGGCCGTCGCCCGTGTCATCGGAGCCGCCGGGCCGAGCGAGAAGCGCCAAGGACGCCGGCCCGCGTGCGTAGAGTGCCGGAGGCGGAAGATAAAATGCGACCGAAAGTACCCGTGCGCGTCCTGCCTAGCGGTGTGTCTGTCCCCCTTTCCGATGTCCGCGCCGTGCTTCCCGCCGCTAACGCTTCTAGCTTGACCACGAATGCCGCCAGCCGCCTCCCGGGCCGGCACGTCGGCCGAGGCGGCGCAATCACCACGAGCTCTACGACAAGATCGCCCGGGTGGAGTCGCTTCTTGCGCAATGCGCTATACCTCTCGAGCACGGGGAAAGCCAAAGTCTGCTCTCCGGCCTTCCCTCCGACATGCTCAACTCTGGCGAGCCGGACGGTTTTCAACAACCTGCTGCGCTCGCCCAACCCCAGAGGCAGCAGCCTCAAGGCACGCTTGTTCAGGTTTGGAACGGCGGCCTGGAGTTCCGCGACAGCAAGGCAATGGCTGTTGTATTCGATGACGTAGGTCACCCTAAGAAGTGCCGGGACGGCCATGTCGTCTGAGGTCATCTTGCAAAGCTTTTGGATGCTCACAAGTCCTTTGGGGTGGGAGAACACAGTTACAGACAATACGTGCTCTCATAGATGTCGAACTCGAGCAGGAAGCATGGCTCCCGCTCGTCGAGGCTCCCGGTCAACGACGACAAAGCTACGATGCAAGCATCCCTTTTATAGACCGGCTGTCTGCCTCTGTTCCGCCAGCCCACTCGATCGACGTCCTCTGGCGCGTGTTTCTCGACCGCGTGGATCCCGTGACAAAAGTCATCCACGTGCCGACGTTTCGCATGCGTGTCATTGACGCCATCAACGACTTCACCAGTGTGCCTTTGGCGACGGCAGCTCTCCTCTTCTGCATCTTCCTGACGGCGTCTGGTTCCTTGTCACAACAGGAACACTGGGACGAGCTCGGTCGAAGTCAGGCCGACACCATCGCCGACTTCACGCTAGGGCTCAAGCTGGCTCTCACCGAACTGAATTACCTGAAGAACCACAACCTGGAAGTACTTTGCAGCCTGGCTTTGTACTCAGTAAGTCGGCCCATGCGCTCGCTCCTCGAACCCCCCCCCCCTCCCCCAGAATCGCTGGCCGCTTACTTCACCCCAGTTGTTCCAGCAGACGCGAAACGGATCGTCTGACCCATGGATCTTGAACGGGGTCGTTGTAAACATCGCCTACCGGCTCGGCCTACATCTTGATGGATCGCACGCAAACCTTTCAGTTTTCGAGTGTGAGATGCGCCGCCGTCTCTGGTGGCAAATCGTAATCTTGGAGACGAGGTCTGGCGGGGCGTTCGGGACCGGCTCGCACTTGCTACCCTCTCGCCGGGACACCCGTATTCCCCTCAACGTCAATGACGAAGACCTGAGCCCTACAATGCCAGCAGAGCCCCGTCCTCACGATGGCCCCACCGAGATGTCGTTCTGCATAGTAGCATACGAGGTTAGGAAACAAGCCTTGGCGCAACCTCGCCTGTGGTCGATTGATGATATACTGTGGCGCCAACTGCCATCGCCGACAAACCCCTACAGCAGTCCCTCGGTGGAAATTCTGGGGGTGATGACGGCTCTCCAATGGTTTTCCAAGGACATCGACGGGATCCTACATCCGCTGGAAAACAACCTCTGCCCCGACCCTGCTACCAACCCGCTGCACGCCATGGCGCAATGCAACCGTGAGGCGCTCTCTCGGATTATCCAGCTCCTCGTCACGCCAATGGAGGAGTCGCCCGAGTGGGGAACCGAGGTGCTCGGCCCAGACGACAACTTCTTCCGCATAAGCCTCGCGGCGAACGAGGAGGCGCTCCGTGCCAGGAAAGCGGCCGGCCGACGCTTCGCCTGGTACGCGGACATCGACCTCAAGATGCAGGATTTATACTACCTGGGGGCCCAGCTTCAGAGCCGCCCCGCGGGGTCCATGGCCCACAGGGTCTGGTCGGTGATGGAGGATACGTACGCGCTCCACGAGGAGCTCTGGGAACTGAGGGATAAAGAGAACATGACCCTGTGCAATCTTCTGCTTTCCGCCTGGGATACGCGCTCCGTTCACCTCGCGACAAGTCATGTGGTGCTGCCGGAGCCGCCTTTTCTGAGCAGACTGCGGGAGAAAGTCTTGGTAATGAAAGCTGAAGCGCTGGGTATGCTCTAAAGAATTGATCTGGCACAACAGACACAGCCTTCTCGGGGGACACGATAAAGACGTGTTATTGATGATGAGAACAGTCATTCATTGCACATGAGATTAGGTTTACTTGTAAACAGGTTTTAGCACGAATGCCAAATTGAGCTTTGGTTGATATGCTGTGTGAACGCACGCCATTGTCTTAAGCTAATCAATAATGCAGAAGCTTCCGAAGTTTGCACAATATCAGAGTAGTTATTCGTCGCTGAATGCAATTAAATACCTTTCAATCCATTTTCACCCTTCTCTCCATAGACATCCAGAACCCCTGAAAACATTGCAAAGACCCCTTCTTACGCTAGCTAGGGATATATAAATTCTATAGAGAATACTCAACCTTGTATCCGATCCTCTATACCTCTTGAAAAAACCTAAATATTGTTCACAAATCAATAGACCTACACGTCTTAGGTACTTGCCAATTTCTCCTCCGTAAATGTTGAGGGGTTACGCAGAGCGGTCTGCTGGTGCTCTTACAATCGCTGGTACTATAACTGACAGAAACGATTGCGGTAAATATGCCAGAATTGTGAAAATCAACCCTGAAGAATTTCTCCGATGATATTCCGAGATCGTTGTCGCGTATATCAGCGGAATTTAAACGACAATTCCACTCTTTATGACGTTGATTTTAAAATAATGCAACTGAAATAACAGACGTGTTTGACGAACTTTCTGGTAGCTTTCTCAACGACATTTCATCCCCAATGCAATGTTCACAGGAAGGATACAGTCTTCCGCGCTCAATTACTTAAATGTGGCGGGTTAGCTGTAGATTGTGCCGGAATCTGTTGGTTTCGCAGATTAAAACCCGATTACCAGTGTGGGTAGCTGATCCATCGCCCACCCTGGATACCGAGGTCTGGATTTCCCAAAATATCAGCGCCGCAGCGTCACCATTATATCGGAAAAGAACATAAAGAAAACGGCTGAAATTGTTAAATGTGAGAATATCTGACCCGTGAAATATAAATACACATCCCGCGTGATGTATAGGCCCTGAGGGTCGGAAGACTTATTCCGGCCTCGGATTGTTGTTGTTGTTGTTGTTGTTGTTGTTGTTGTTATATTTAACGCCGGGCCGTTCCTGTAGAGGACAAAGGGCGCCTGGGGTTGCAGGCTTCTAGCTAAATAGGTACAAATAAACACTAATAATAGTCCCTCTCTGTCACAATCGGTATGTAAATGCCATCGCCCGTTTCGCTTCCGCCAACGTCCCAGGAGTTCAACTAGAATTGTTCCGTGCTGTTAAGTGCCCAAGGCTCTTCAGCTGCCAGGATCCATGCGGTTTCCCTCATCCCGGCCTCGGAGAAGATGAGGGCATCGCGAGTCGCGACAATTCTCAAGCCCTCATTGGAAATAACGATCATCAAATACCTCCTTCGGACCTCTACATATAATTTAGTACCTAGTGATGATCTCCTACTCTTCTGGGTGCGAACAATGTGCATTCACATACGCGAATCTGAGGCAATGAAAGGTCAGGATCAAAGAAGTTGTCCATATGTCAGATACCATCCGCAAGCTTGCAATCATATATACCCTCCGGCTTACTTTATGGTTTATTTGATCATGTAAAATTATACTCTATGGTTCATGTGTGCCGACTGATGAGAAATTCTCATTGGGAGAGATGGTTTGGCCAGGCAGGACTGCGAGGGACACACCAACATAGGGGCAGTACAATTGAGCATTGGGACTAGAACCGTGAGGACTCGGGAAGCTTCATCGTAGCTGACGCTACGCGATCTCAGAAACATCTAATGGTGCTGGTATCACAGACAATCTACCATCGTTAAGGCAGTCAGTTTGAACTCGAAGTCATTGAGGCACGCGAACACTTCCTTCCTTTGCATCTGAATGCTTGACGCTTCCAACTAGATTTACCCTTGGTCTCGTGGTGAATTTACTCCATTAATAATGGGAGAAGTCACAGGTAGGTAGGTGTATTTCGAACATATTGCCGACGTTGATCTGTCAAAGCTGCACGATATGAGCCCCTACACAGCCCTACGTTTGTAGCATATTGGAAGGAACGAAGAGCCAGAATGTCTGTTGGCCCAAAAGTTTCAGTTATCCTTTCTGAAGAACAGAGGTTCTAAGACACTATACAAGGTAGTCTTATGATTCTATCCCACTCGGGGTGCGATTACAGTTCTGCTTGGCGGCGGGGAGCCTCCACCATGTGACATGATTATTTCGAAAATAGTGAACTTTTGAACATTTCTACTGCAACGTCTATGTTCCAGGGGATGACTCAACTCAAGGTCTCTTTTGAATAAATCTGGTAATCATAGGCCAGTTGACCCTAGACACTTTTTCTGTTGAGAGATCATGATGAGTCAGAATATGGCTTCATGTTCACATGTATGTTGAGACGAAGCTTACCATTTGTCCGCATACGAGTTTTCATTTTTCATTTTTGAGACATGTATACAAGCTTTCTCCCTGCATTTCAAGTAGGAGTCTTGCCTTGTTGTGGCTTTGGTCATCATATCCTGATGAACAGCAGCTTCAAAGACATATGCCCCCAGCATTCAGATCAGCCATGACATCGAGACCAAGCAGCGACCACAAATTTGGTGCTAGAAATTACTATCCATCTTAGAATCTAGCTTACCATATTCTGTGCTCGGTGGCATTCTGGAAGACGATTTCAAGTAACTGGTTCAAACGCCGATCCCAACTTGAACCACCCCATGTGGCCACACCCCCTGAGTCGAGGGCATATATTCCCTCAGAAACGCTTTAACGTCAGCGGCTTGCTGAACGCCTATAGTGTTGATCTTTCTGGCGTAGTTTAGGTAAGATTTCATTTGAGTTCCGTGAAACGAACGAACCAGTGGGTATGCGGTGTCGCCAGTCGTGCTAAGCCGAAAGCAGACTTTGTGAGCCGGAAACATGTCTCACAGGCGACGATCCATACCGTGATTCAGGATCTCCGAGTTTTTAATCCAGCTTACTTCCTTCGCATCGAGCTTTTGCCACCATCTACCCAAGCCATTGACGCGAAGATCGTCCCGGAAGGCACTGGGCTCAGGCTTGGCGAAAGTGAAAAGGAATTCCTCAGGAACACGTGCACCAACCTTATGTAGACATGAGTTCTCCGCGATTTAACTGCCCTTGCTTTTCTAAATGCCGGTAGACGCATAGGTAAAGACCCGGATATCTCACCCTCAAATACGGGTCTGGATTACGGGTGAGACCACCTAAGCGGAAAGACGCCAAGACTCAACCGCCGAGGAAACAGACTTTGAAAGTTCTAGATATGCGTCAGACCGTTTAGTTTTGGGGTCTGGATTGAAATGCAAGTTCTGGTGCAAGCACTATGAGACATCTCGTTCCATCACGCAGCACCGTACTGACACGGCACTGTGTTTGCTCGCTGTCGTACGGCCGCAAACGTTGTCTCTGAGAGAACCATTGATTGAACCTATTTGGAAGGCTAGGCATTCGCCTAAACCTAATGAGAAAAGCTCTATGCCATGATTGGAGCTGGCCGCACCACTCCGCAATCGATGAATGCGGCCCGCTGAACGCTCCCGCTGACATGTTTCCAGCCAACCTAGCCCGCATAGCAAGAGGCTAGCTTAGTCTCACTCGTCTAGCTGGTAGGGATTGCCTCATTCCTAGCCTCCATAACGTCTGGGCTGACCCGAGACTCGCAACTGGGTTCACCCCGTTGGAGCCAACCTCATTCGCGGGATAACTAAAAATGACTTGGCCACCGGTTCGGGAAACTTTACAGGACCGAGACACTTTAGTTCGGTAGAGAGTCCGCCAATAATTACTTCATACGGTCCTAGTATGTAAGGGATACTAGGTATCGAGCTGCCCGTTCCCAGCTTCGCACTTGAGAATCCAGATCTTTGGAGAGAGTGTGTCAAAGGCGGCATTCCCAGAAGTCGGGAACTGCGAGAACGCCTTACCCGCTCAGCGCCATCGCACGCAGTATGAAGTGAGATGTCGATGTGGATGTCTTACATGATGAGGTCTGTTTGGGCCTTCAGATCTAGTACGGATGCGGGATTCTTTCGCAGCCCGCGGCATTTTCAAGGATGTGTGATCACGGGTCGAGGGTTTCGATTATAGCTATTTCGTCAGGTTCATCGAGATGTTCGAATTTGAATCTGTAACAACTACACACAAGACTTGATTCCAATCATAGCGGGTCTAGTTCAGTATCCGAGTCCTAACATTCCACGGACTCCGAGACGCAAAGGTCACGTTGACTCCCTAGTAAGCTACGGTGAAGAGTTGTAATACTATCGCCTGATTGAGCAGGCCCTTCATCTCGATTACCAGCCCATGGTTCACCCACAGGAGGCAAAGGTTCATTGACGAGCTTGGAAGTCTACTGGGCAGCCCGGCAGTTATGCGCTGACATTAGCCCCAAGCCCATGAATCGCTCGCGGAATAGTTCATCTCAAAAAATAAAACATAAAAATAAAAAACACTTCAAAATACAGAAACCTGGAAGCCACAAGCGGGGTCTTTTGAAATAGGACTGTAATCTAACGTCAACTTCGGAAAGTCCCTTTGGTGTGTGACTTTGCCGGCCCGTTCATCGGGTCGGAATCCATGGCTAGGACCAGTGGCTTGCCATCGTGCCACATCGGGTCAGAGACAGGAAGGGCATAGATGCAACGGCATTTTACATGACATAGAACGCATCTAAGCGCGTTTGTGAGCATGCATGGCCCAACTAGGAAGTGAGAAATGTTTAGCTTCAGAGCACTAGGCTCTGGGTAGACCTCCCAGGTCTCGGACGAAGCCTTTCCCGAATCCCAGCAAGCTACCCGATGCTTGGCTTCCCGGCTCGAGACCACACGATCTCGTTTTCGGTAGCACAGAAAGGAGCAAAACATTGAAAAGATGAATGGATTGAGCTGGAAGTCAAATTCTCACTTTTCTATAAGAGACGCAAATCCCTCCCGCCTCGTTGGGTCTTCACTCCTCATCATCTTACACAGTATTCCTTCCCAACATAGTATTCGCTTCCTTTCGGCAATATTGCCTCCCCAATAACCTCCTATTCTCGTTGTTGAGAACTTCCCTCATCGTTCACTCCTGTTCCTCCTCTTGAAACAAGACCAGCCAACACATCCATCATAATGCAGTCCAAGATCTTCACCACCGCCGTTGCTGCTCTCTCACTGCCCGCAGTGCAATGTGCAGTTGCGCCCAGGCAAATTGCCATTAGTCCTGGCTTGATCGTTCTTCCCGGCATCTTCATTAACCCCAACACTCTCGGGCCCCAGCAGTCGGTGTTCCAAACTCTCGACCTTGTCCGTGAGGATGTGGGCAAGACTATCAACCTTGTCAATCAGATCACGAACACTACCGCTGGCAACCTGCTTGGAGTGAGTTTCTCCATCTCGAAAACCTAGACACTTTATACCATACTAACTGGACAGACGGTTTCCGTTGCTACTACCGTAGTCGGTCAGGTCACTAACAACGTGGGGACCATTTTGGCCAAGGTCACTGAACTTACCAACCTCATCACGCCTACTCTTCCTTCTCCTACTACTCCTGCGCCCCCAGACTTGCCGGATATTGGTGGCACGGCCGAGACTGTAAGTGAATCCATAGATATGCCAAACTCGGCGAGAGTTCCCGCTGACAAGCACCCCTTAGCTTGTCCGCACGGTTCAGGAGCTCACCAGGGCGGCCACCGCCCAGCTCGACGCCCTCCGCAACCAGGCTGTCGGGCTAGCCGCAGCAACCTTGCTTCCTCTTGTCGCCACTTTGCAGGTGACCTTGCAAACCGCCCTCAACCTCCTCGGCGTCGCCTCCGGTATCGCCCTCTCCCTGGCGGCTAGCGCCACTGCCAACGTTCAGACTATCGTTGATCGAGTCCTCAATGCCAAGGCCAAGCTGGCAGGTGTCCTTGTTATCGGCATCCAGCCGGAGGTCATCTTCTAGACGGATTCATGTATACCAACATATGCATCCAGTCTGGTTCTATGGGCCTCCATTACATGGTGAGACGCTAGTGATCGACGTGGTACCGACGAGAACGTAATGGAATAATGGAGAAGATTGCGGAGGTTATGACGGCCTGCGATTGGGAATTATTTGACTTTTGACGTGAAATGCCTACATTCTTTGGTGAATGACACTGAGAAGACTATTCAACAAGACTCAGCGGAATGACTATTTTTGATACTTATTTAAAACTCTATTATGGCCAAAACACAAGACCAGACCTGTTGTCCCTCTTTACGTGCAGTTAGTGGGCTGTAAATCATCCACACTTTGGGTGCATTAACATATACGACCAAGGTGCACCAAAGTACAACCGCATGTGTATGCAACGATACTCAACAAACCACCTATATTCTTCGCAGCCACATCGTGCACATGCATGTTGCAGATGATGTATTGCAGTATAAAACTTTCTTCCGCTAACCAAATAATTCCCTGTGCTTAGCAAAGGACACGTATAAGCCCCTCACATCAGATGTCACCTTTTCAATGTCATTGGACGCTGTCGCATCCTTGGTCCGTTTTTAGGCTAAGCATTGCCGTGGATAATATGTGCTTTTGAAACTAGGCAAACCTACGCGTTTCGTATAAACAAATCCGATCCCCCTCACCACGCTGATAGAGGGAAAAAGTAAAAAAAAAGTAGCGCGAGAATGGCCTGGGTTTAGAGTATGTGCCCAAGGTACCAAAGACACAACGGCCGCGGAGAGACTCGGCCGCATTTGTTCCCATGACGTGATGTGACAGATGTCCGTAGCAGAAGCTAGTGAATTTTGGTTGATTGCCGTCGACATTACTCGGTAGCGAGTAAACTAAATTAATTGCCACGGGCATGGCACTCAGAAGAGGACAGTATTGCGGTCTCATATTCATCGGTACGAGAGTGCCATCGCCATCTTTGCCGTGCTGCCGCGTCGCTGCCCTGGATCTGGAGAACAGAAAGAGGAATTTCCCAAGGCCTACGGCGCAACGCTCTAAAGCGCACTCAGCATCAGTGTCAACAAAGCTTACTTATACAAAGAGGAATATTTCGTCAGAGTGTTCGTGATTCTCTTTCTGACGAAGTGATTCTGGTTTCAAGGCCCGCTCGAAATGAGAAGGACAAGTCACAGGTGGGAGTGATCTATATCTAATGACGAATCATTTGTGTTTGTCTCTTGAGTCGCTAGCTGAATTGACAAAGCAAGACTGGAGATCATCCGATCAATGTAAGCCCGAGTTCTTGGCCTCTCAATTCCGTGCGTTTAGCCGAAGAAGCGAGGCATCCTAGCCAATCCTGTCCTCGTCCGTTACAAGGATGGGAATGTGATGGGCCGTCGACCACTCTGGATCTAGTTTAGAGCCTTGGGTAGTTTAACGCGGGATGAAGGCGGAGAAGGGGGACCAACTCTGGAATAACACGATACAATAGTGTGGATTTCGGTATGATAGGAGGACGCTGATAAATGGCCTTCATCCCCCGTCTGTTTCTACGGTAGTAGACAAGCTAGTCTTACCTTGGTTGTCTTTCGCCATTGATTTCCCACGCTTCTCTGTACCGTTGGGGTAATATTGCCTGTTCTCTTCCTGCCGGCTCCGTTGAATTGTCTCTCGTTCTCGACAAACCGCCGGTATGCGTTTCTCTTCCGTTACGGCAGCTGGGCTGCTCGCACTTCCCAGCGTCAGCGCCAACCTTCATGAGCTCGCCGTGGCTGCCGGCAAGAAATACTTTGGCTCCGCCACGGACAACGGGGAGCTCACTGACACCGCCTACGTCAACATCCTCAAGAACAACAAGATGTTTGGCCAGATTACACCCGGGAATGGCCAGAAGTGGCAGTTTACCGAGCCGAGCCAAGGCTCCTTCTCATACACCGGCGGCGACCAGATCACAGACTTCGCCAAGAACAACGGCCAGCTCATCCGCTGCCACACCCTCGTGTGGCACTCCCAGCTTCCGGACTGGGTCTCTTCGGGAACCTGGACCGAGGAACAGCTGACCAGCATCATTGAGACGCACATCTCCAACGTCGCCGGCCATTACAAGGGCCAGTGCTATGCCTGGGACGTCGTCAACGAAGCCCTCGAAGAGGACGGCACGTACCGTGACAGCGTCTTCCACAAGGTCCTCGGCACCGACTTCATACCCATTTCGTTCAAGGCCGCCGCCGCAGCCGACGCGGGTGCCAAGCTTTACTACAACGACTACAACATCGAGCTACCCGGTGGCAAGCAGAAGGAGGTCCTCAATATCATCAAGAACATCAAGGCCGCAGGCGCCCGTATCGACGGTCTCGGCCTTCAGGCCCATCTCATCGTCGGCAGCGCCGGCTCCCGCTCGGATCTGAAATCCGTCCTCCAGTCTTACGTTGACGCCGGTGTCACCGAGGTCGCCTACACTGAGCTCGACATCCGCCACTCCTCCGTCCCCGCCAACGCCGCCGCCCAGCAGCAGCAGGCCCAAGACTATGTCAACGTTGTCGGTGCCTGCTTAGACGTCGCCGAGTGTGTTGGTATCACCATCTGGGACTACACCGACAAGTACTCCTGGATCCCATCCGTTTTCCCGGGCAGCGGCGAAGCCCTCCCCTGGGACAAGGACCTCAACCCCAAGCCCGCATACACCAGCATCTCCAGTCTTCTCGCTGCCGCTGCTACGTCTGCCCCTGTTGCTTCCGTTTCACCTATCGCTAATACCACTTTGCCCATCGCCCCGGCAACGACAACCGAGGCTACTGCCCCTGCTACTACTCCTGCCCCTGGTACTGCCGCCCGTTGGGCTCAGTGCGGCGGATTGGAATTCACCGGTACTAGCACCTGCGAGACTGGCCTTGTCTGTGAGAAGTTGAATGACTATTACAGCCAGTGTGTTTAAAAGATAGCTACAGTGGTTCATGGGAGAGGCCACTGAGGTACTGGCGGAACTGCTTCGGGTGGTGTTTCGAGGAGAAGGTGATGACATTCGTGTACATAGCCTCAGTTGATGAAAACATAAATTGTCTATTACTTGTTAAACGGCGATTTTCTTGCTCGTAACTGTGCAGTGGCTTCATGAGGAGTCAACCTGTAGCTTTTGAGTGTACAACCACATCAGTTACATTGACCCCTGCTCCTCCTAGGCAACTGACCTGAGCTGCTGCAACTATAAAACTATAGCAAGCCTGGGCCGAGGACTATATATACTACTGCTGACTCAGTAAGTATTATTGTCACCAGCAGATAGTCATGATCCACCAACATGTGATTGTTTACGGACTATATGGGTATAAAGTGAACCTCCACGAAGGCTTCCTCTTCGAGAAGCTTAATTATTAGAAGACTACTTTGACTGCACCTATCCTTTGACTTTTACTGCTTGTACTATTTGTTTTGTTGTTTCTGTTGCGTGTGCGTTGCTTGCTTACTCTATTACTGCCTTCACTGCGTATCTACACGTCGCTGCCGTGATATTACCCAGCAGCTCCTATCCCACTTGCCCTGCTAGTTATAGAATAGGCACGATTTGGCCAGTTCGACAGAAATATATACAACCTTTCAGTAGTAAGTCTTACGGACGGCGTCGCCATGGCTTACGGGACGGGTGATCTACAATGATGGTCCCACCGCGCCGCGTGAAGCCAGGCCGATCTCGCTCGCATACTCAAATAGACTCCCTCACAGTATGAACATGCTCATTTGTCACGATCGCCTCTCTGGCTGTCATAAGTCCCGATTGTCAAACCGGTTGTGAGCGAAAGAACCGAGCAGTCCCCTTAGGGATGATTAAGCTCTCCTTCGTATCGTCTGCGGACGATTATACAACTAAATCCATATACCTGCGGCAACGGAAGACTGATCGTTCTTTTTGACCGGATCATGCAAACCGGCTCTGAGAACCTACGTGCAGCTAACAAACGGAGAGATCCACATCGCTCGATGCCGTAACTCAATGTTTGCATTGACTCTTTATATATCGTTATGTGCAAAACTTTACTCCAAGAGTCAAAGACGCAATGTTGACAGATGCATGCAGAGGCTCATACGGTTTTCTATTCGACGAAAAAAATAACTGAGTAGTCGCCTTTGTAATATAATATCAGGGCGTGCTTGCGACCATTCCGATCCATCAATCCCATTCTCACCAACTAAATATCCCCCGCTCTTATGACTGCGGCAGACCAGGTGAGTGCAGCGGACTACTATAGTTTCCGTGCCTATTCTCATGGCCGTGGGTCGGTGAGTCTCGGCCCTCCTGCTGCTGCTGCTGATCGTACGGAGACGGCGATCCCATCTCGCTTCTTGCGATGGCGACCGACGCATCTAACTCTGAATATCTGTGGATGTTTGACTGATGGTACTCCGAGTTGGGCGACATGGTTGGTTGCGGAGATGGGCCGTAATGCGACTTGTAGGTCTGTGGCGGCGAGGTCCCGGCGTACGAGCTCGTGGCCCCGGTGAACTGCGGTTCTATCCTCTGGCTTGCCACCTCTGTCTTCTCGGCCAATTCTTTCTTGAGCTTCTTGTTCTGCTTCAATAGCCATACCGTCGAGAGAAGACCCACCAGGACGGCGATACCGGTGGCGACGGCGAGGCCAATGGTCGCGCCCTTGAACGCGGACGATTCCTCGGGCGTGGTGTCGTCGTCGGAGTTGGTCGAATTCGCGGTGCACACGGACTCCTGCGGTGATATTGAAAACGCTTCATTCGTTCCACAACAGGTGGTGTTCGATCTGCCGCAGCAGTACTTTGCTGTTCCATCATTGCAGGCGGTCATGAAGCTGATTCCATCAGGGCTGCCGCCAGTCTACAGTCCTCGTTAGCGTCACAGATAATACAATTGCAACAGCGGCGGTATCGCACCTCGATACTTGTACAGACATGGTTGCAAGCCTTGCTTTTCCACGTCCTATCCGTGCAGTAGCCCCGTTGCGGCTGACCTTGGCGGTTGATACACAGGCCGGAGGTTGAGCAAATGTCTCGCTGTTCGGCCGGGCCGTCCAAAGCGCAGCAGCTCGAGAAGACGCCAGCCTGGTTGATGCCGAGCTTGTTGCATGGAACGTATGTTTGATTGTCGGCCAGGTCACCGTTCGGCGCGTAGCACGCAGCTTCCTGTGCAAGGACGCGGGTGACGAGGCCCAAGGCCACTCCTAGAATGGCTACGAACATCGCGACGAGTTCAGCTAGTCGGATTGGTCACTCGGACCTTGTTTGCGGTCTGCGTCGAACGTCTACGTGTAGGAAAGGAGGAAGACAGGGAGGGGGAACGAACCCGGATTTCAAGAGGAAAAGAAGAAAGCGCAGGAAGAGAAAGCACCGCAGCAGACAAGACGGGGCTTTCCCTCTCTCTCTCTCTCTTTCTGTCTCCCTCTCTCTATGAGAAGCCCCGGCAAACAAGCCGCGTGCAACAAGGTCGGTGCTCTCCCTGGGTATCCTCCATCTCCCCAACTCAAAGGATTCGATCTTCTTACTGGCAGCCCGGCGTCTTACGTGCATGGGAAAAGACTAGCATGATGATAGACGCTTACAACAGGCAGCCAGCGCAGCCCCCAAACTATCTAAATTAGGCACGCTAGGTTCAGTTGTCTTGTAATCTCCTCTTTATAGTGGTCGTACGAACCGTTGCATGCAGAAGGCAGATCCTGGACACTACTGATGGCCCGCACCAACATACACATACGCAAGGATTGAGAAAGACGCACAGATCAGCAGGTAGACATACTTATTAATATATATGAAATCGGCGGAGATCAAAGTACTGGTATTGTACACCTATTCTAATATTCTAGGGCACTACTATATAGATAAACCTGGCGAGACCTAGAAGGTGCTAATTGCTATAAAAATATATCCGTATAGATATTGCCTCCTAGATAGCTCATACAGTTGCTGGTTGCCAACTGTGCCTGTGGCATATCTAACGTGATAATTAGGTTGTCTGACCAGAAAGTGGATGTGAGCAGTGGTAAAGTCATGTCTGCTACTCGTACGAGCACTGATCTACGATATATGTAGAAAACCAATACTAAACCAAGTATTAATACTCACCTTTGAGAGCGGGGAATTCCACTGCGCCAATGTTTTTAACCCTTGGCTACTTGATCGGTGTACAGAAGCCGACCAGAGGCCGCACCAACAGGCAGTCGACATGCAGTATTATGACCAATCATTGGGACGGCTGTGTCCAGGATGGAGCGCCTCGAGATTTGGGCGGGATGGCACTATGGCACGCCCCGCGTCCTGGCTGATGGGTCAAGATGATCACCTGTCCATCGAAGTCTGTTCGGTGGATTGCAAAAGATCGGACTGCCTCCATCCTAATTACAACGTTGAGCTGTTTCATCTGTTCAGATGCACGGCTGATGACAACAATCATGTTACCAGAGGGCCTAAAACGTCACAAGCACTCTGTCTCGACCACAGAGCAATCATCAGCAACCAGGAAGATCCGGAGTCGTTGCCGAGAATCTTGGCTGGGATTGTCTAGAGTGCTGCTCATTGGTAAGAATGGCGCCACAGGACTTGGCAGCCCACTCCAAGCTGCACATTATGCCTGGGAATAGGCATTCCCCCGGGCGAAGGATGTCAGCTTACTCGCCTCATGCCACGTTGAGCCGCCTCCCGAAGGAGGAGCTGCTCCTGCGCGCTCCTCCCTGGGCATATCTGGATTGAGCGACAGATTGGTCGTCCTTGGATTAAGCAACAGCCATCAAGCTTCAAGATATAGCAAAAGAATGGGAGGAAGCTTAGTCTAAGGCTCCTAGCTCATCTGAGGTGACACGAATCACCCACGCCTTGGTCTCATGCTCTCAACATCGGAACCTTGACGCAGGGTGGAGATGAACACTTTCGATTGATCGCACTGAACTACGCTCTTAGAGGCAGAGGGAAATTGCCAAAACTTCAGCCGTTGAAAGTCAGGATATTTAAGCGCCACGTGTGCTGCCTCGAATCCAACTCATCACTGATTCCCACCCCATGAAGGAGTCTAGGTAGCAATGCCGCCGCCGTTAGTGTCGAGTCGAAGAGATGAGCTTCATAGCTGCAGCCGCACAACTGAGAAACGGCTGCACATACTGCTTGTTGCCGCCTTCGAACCGTTTCGCGCATTCTTGCTCACCTCACACTTGCTGCTTTTCTATCCGATATCTTGAACAGATGGATCATGTTTTGAAGGTGCGGGCGAAACGAGAGATGCCTTGTCGCTTCTGAAAGCCCACGACCGGAGACGAACAAAAGTAGGTCGGTACATCATGTTCAGACCGACCTAGAATCGACGCGGACGGCTCTCTCGAGAAAGGTCACATCTTTGCAATACATGCAGGGCCATGGTGCAAAACGGCCAAACCAAGCAACAAACCTCGAGCACTATCAACGGGTGGGTTTGGGGTAAACGTGTTGTTGGATACTTAAAAGTGTTGGTATGATGCAGGAGGTTTGAGATTTTATCCTCAGGGCCCAATTCGAAAATATCCCGCCTCAAGCTCTAGAAAAGCTTTACAACCTCATCATGGACCACATCGACCTTGGGATCAGCGGGGACGCTCAATTGTAGTCGAGCGGGTGCTTCATCAAGGGCGTCGAAGCTTTCAATGGAGGAGCCACAGGAGAGAACACAGTATACCAGTACACGATCGGGGACTACGATACCTGTTCCCCATTCCCGCATTGATCAACGGAGCGTTCGCGCACTGCTCTTGAACAGGCGGCTGCGTTCAGGCCTCGCCGCCCCCGATGCCGTTCTATGTGTGGCCCAAGGGGAGGCAGGTATAAGGGGGGCGTCGTGCGTCACCGAGGGAAAACGGTGGTTCCTACAAGCGCAGTCTCTAAAGTTCGACGCTGCGGACCTCATGGACAACCTCGGTACAGATTGGCTTTACCCGCCACGGCGTTGAAGGCGTTCCTTACCAGACGCTACACTCACGCCTCCATCGAGGTGACTGCAGGCGTTGCGGCAAAGGTCAAAGGACGGGGTCTGCCACAGAAGATCACCATCCGGCGGACTAGGGCGGCTTACGGTATCGTCGGCGAGCCCAGCCCGAACAAGAGATGTCCCAAAACCAGTGTCGACTCGAACTCAACATACATTATCAGGTAGCGGTTGCCTGGCTGTTGAGCATGGCGATCATGGACTACGTACGGCACCGAGAAGATGCAGAACGAGGAGGTAGCAGACCTCTGCGAAACAATGTAGGTCGTCGTCGTTGACGAGCTTAACCAGGAAATCTCCGTTACGACCTATTTCGCCGGTATCAACGACCTGGGTGATGTTAAAGATGCCATGTAGTGTACTCTTGGGGAAGAAGGGCGTCCATTTTGTAGCGAGAGGATCCGAAAGAAGTTCGAGTCTCGTTAAATCTCTGGATGGAGAAAGCCGTGAAAAAACATCCTCAGCTGTGCATAACCTTTCTGGTCATTCGTCCCGCCATTTGGTTTCATTTCTCTGCCGAATGGGCCCTAGGTAGCTAGGTACATCTCTTTTTAGATCCCACACGAGCAGAAAGAAAAGCAGCATGGCTGTGAGCCCTCCACTTGCCTCGTCCATTAGGGGAACATTAACAGGCAATCATGAATTATGTGTTCCAGACCGGAATGCGGAAGAGCTCTCCCGCGCTGGAGTTGCCATCCGGAACCCAAATCGGGAAATTGAGATCGGGTTACCTACTTTGAAGCGTTCCGTCTCGGCATCGGAAGCTAGGCTCACGGCCAAAACATTTCTTTTTATCACGGTACCCCATCGCCTCAAGTAGCAAGTTGATCCGTTCTCGTTTCAGAAAAATCGCACTTGGTGCATCGTAGTATCGATCTGGGCCTGGGCGAGACTGCACTTGGCTTCAATGGTTGTTTCCGATACACTTTGTTCAAAGGAATGCTTTGACCGTCTTGGTGAACGGCATCGAACTGCCGACCACGTGATCTAAGCAGAACAGGCGTAGAGAAATTCGTCGTGTTGACCTGAGACCACAGGGGTGGTCAATCGGCCAGGGTTAAGGCCACCGGTTCATGGAACAATCGAAAAGACATATATGCCCAGCATAATGAAAAGTTCATTCGCAGATTTGCGGGCTGGTCTAGCCCCCTTTCTTACTCATTCTCAACGGGAAGATTTGCGGTCTAGCTAGATTGAGTGAAACCACCATAGCCAGCATGTTTTTCTTTTACCCGTTCCAGCTAAGGTACACGACAGGGGCTTCGCACACCTTAATATCTCGATTGGGACGCCGAGGCGTATCAACGTTGTGCTCATTTATTCAACAGCCATGCGGTCAGAAGATCATCAGTAGTACTTTCTAGACCAAATGTGTGTCATTGCTGCCCCGGACCCGACCGTCTTGTGGCCTTTCTACTCGGCAGGATCGGACTACCACGGCATTAGTTCTTATAAGCCCCCAGTCGTGCAAGGTTGAAATCTGGGGGGCCAACACAAACACCACGAGCAAGGGCCCCTTGTAACGGTCCCATGCGTTTGCTCACAGAGGCCCGGTGGCGACGAGATGAACAGTTCGTTTTTTCTCCTTCGCTTTCCGAGGTGTTTCCACGCCTTGCCACTAGAGGTCATTACATCGTACTTCGTACACGCCATTTTCGGGAGGGGGGCGGGGGGACAAGGGCATGATCTGCGATCCTCAAACACAGTACTTGGCCAAGGTCGATGGTCGATGGTAAAACCACCGCAATAACGTCGGTTACAAGAACGGATTGAAGACTGCTTACTTCGAAACCTCTTTATCAGTTCATGCACTAAGCCGTAATAGACAGACAGTATGAGTCTAGACTCAACAAAGGCTGGCCAGATGGCGAGCGGAACCCAGCAGAGTGGCACGTTTTTGTCATCCAGTGGACCAAGCGGGAGACTCCGATCTGTTCCCCGGGCGCTTTGGCCTCTCGGCCGGGCAGATTACCGAGGACAACCACCCCCAATCGCTACTTCATCGGGCTTCAAGCTGTGACACTCAAGTGTTGGCATACTCTTCTTTCTCCAATAGGGGCCAGCAGACGGCACGAAGACGACCCGCGCCTGCACTGTGCGCCCCAGCAGGATCGTCGTCCATGAACCCCAGAGTCTGTTATGGCAGTGTTTTATCACCCTCTTCGATCATGGACTGCTTGGGCCTTGGCGGATGAGAGGAAGTCCAGGGAGCACGAAGAAGGCTACATTATGGCTTCTTATAGCCAGGCCTCGCCTCCTGGTAAGACCTGGTTCCATGTCGGCGGATCCTTCGATCTTTGGAACCTTTTTAATACATTGCCTTAACCTTGGCACCCGGGGCAATATCGACCTCGTACTTCCTTCATGCGATGTTGATGATCGCTGCAATGCGCTCAGAAGCCCATCACGTCGAAATGGACGCAGTTTCCTGGAAACACCTCCCCCACGACGACTATGGTCCCCGTCTGCTTCTCGCCGTATGGGCGTTCGTCTGCGTGTCCGGCGGGTTTATCGGCCTGAGGATATACTGCAAAGTCTCGCGCCTACGAGAGCTGTGGCTGGATGACCACGTGCTGATCGCATCTTGGGTATGTCTTCATCTCACAATCCGGTGTCTGGGGGACGGACTGTGCTAACACGTACAAGTGCGCTCTGCTGGCTGTGTGTGTGTTCGTCACCGTCGATGTATCTTATGACTTTGGCAAACACAGCTGGGACGTGGCGCGAGACAACTGGCCGTGGCTCCTGCTCTATGCCAACCTGGGTGGCTCGTTCTCCATCATCGCAGCGGCATGGAGCAAGACCTCCTTCGCGTTGACCCTCTTGCGCATCACACGAGAGTCCTCCGATCCCTGGATGAAGCGGCTAGTCTGGTTCATCATCTTCTCGGTGAACATTGCCCTTGGCCTCAATGTGTTGTTCACTTGGATACAGTGTTGGCCAGTCGAGAAGACGTGGCGGACAGCGACGCCGGGAACGTGTTGGCGTAAGAGTATACCGGTGAACTACAACGTGTTTGCCACGTCGTACTCCGGGGCGATGGACATTGTTCTTGCAATTCTGCCTTGGAAGCTGTTATGGGGTCTTACTATGACCAACAGAGAAAAGCTTGGTGTTTTGGTTGCCATGAGCATGGGTGTTTTGTAAGCATCGATCCCGCTCCGACTGGCCAGTATCGTGACTGACTTTGGGCCTACACAGTGCTGGTGCTGTTTCGTTTATCAAGATACGGGCCCTTGCCGCCATTGCATCCTTCGATATCATCGATACCGTCGAGTTGGTGATATGGGGCGCGGCGGAAAGCGCTGTCACCATCATCGCGGCATCGATACCTATCTTGAGAGCCCTGTTTCGCGACACCAACCCTTCTCCAGCACGTTTCGCCATCGACGATGAGTCAATCATACGACAGCCTGACACGGCTTCGTTAGCAACGGCCATTGCTGGGTCTCCGAAGAAGAGGAGACCAAAATCGGAGCTAGCGTTGGTGGAAGGGAAAGACAGCCAGGTGCGGGGCAACGAAGACAGACACAGTTTGCCTTCGTGGCCGCTCGGAACGAGGACCTTCAGGATTTCTTGGAGAAAGGGGGGGGCCGGCGGCACCATCAGGTCCGTCTAGACAAAATGGCGACGACGCATGTATTCAAGACAGAGGTCCTGTAGAGTTGTCTCGACGATCATGTTAGGTTAACCAATACGAAATACTGCATGGTCTTCCCATCCGCCATCAATCAGGGTTTGCGGAATGATCCATGTATTGTCAACCCGGTTCTGAGCATTGGACATTGGGCTCGGTGTAAGTCTCCAATAGGGGAAAATGCGCAGACCTATTCCCAGTCTCAAGGTGTTGTTCATCGGTGCTGTTTTCCATCTCTGTTATGTCTCCCTTCATGCTGTCCATCTTTCTAACTACACGGTTTGACGGGCGTATGGATCTTGATGGATCTTGCCTGCCTTCTTCGCACCGTGTTATCGTAGTATTCTGCAGAACGCTTTCTTTGATGATGTCGTCATATAGATATTGTCTTGGCCGACCTTGACGTAGGCATCCGAACCCCTGCGAGTGAGGTGAAGCGATTGTGATGTTTGGCGTCAGTACAAACACGGTTTGAGAAAACATATTACGCAACGAGCGCAGTTTGCTCTCTCCAATCGCCAAACACCCTCAAGGGGGCTGCTTTACCCCACCTTTGCGAAACGATACAGGCGGGGCTTCAACTCACCGCCATCACTGTCAAAGCTCAAGAAAGACACATCATCTCTGCCACATCACAACCATATCCTCATCTTTTTGATCGCCTCGATCCAGTCTAGACTCAAATACAAGCAAACATGCCCTTGAAAGGAATCTCCCCCGTCATCTCGCCCGACCTCCTCAAGGTCCTGGCTGAGATGGGCCACGGCGACGAGATTGTCCTCGCCGACGCCCACTTCCCGTCGCACTCCATCTGCCCGCCCCATATCCCCGTTCTTCGTGCTGATGGTAAGTTTTTTCCCCAGTGATCCATGGTGCACAGCCAGAAACTGGACACTTGGAGAACTGGTTGCTGAGCCACAGTCAACAGGCATAACCGTCTCCCGCCTTCTGGCTGGCATCTCTCCGCTGCTTGAACTGGACAATTACGGCGTTGTGCCGGTGCTCATGATGGAGGTCGTCAAGGGCGACACCTTTGACGCGAGTGTCGAGAGCGACTTCCGGTCATCGCTAAAGTACGACGGAGAAATCGAAAAGCTGGAACGTTTTGCCTTCTATGAGCGTGCCAAGAAGGCGTTTGCGATTGTGGCCACAGGGGAGACGAGGAAGTATGGCAACATCATCCTCAAGAAGGGCGTTACACCTATTGAGGAATAGGAGGCGTGCGGATTGATATGGTTTAAGATTGCGATATAGGATGTGTAAGGTGCTGGCTAATGAGAATTCTGAAATCACGCATAGTTTTATGTTGGCTCCCTTTTGATTGAATCATTGAGAAAGCCAAGGCAAGTGAGAGCTTTGAGCCATTTTTCTGGGGGTCTCGTTGCAGAAACGAAGCCATTCGCGTAAGGCTGAGCCGGCTACAAACTAACAGAAAACGTGCCTGGTGCACACGGGATTGGGCGATCATTTGAGAAGTCACTTTCCAGGTAGGAAAACCATGAACATCTCTATTCTATAGACCCGTGCGTGAGAAGAAACGGGTTATGTATGAGAGCCACAGAAATCGCAAGGCACTAGAGCTGCATTTCTTGAACCCCCTTTACAATGCTAGTTTCATGTATCATGCTGAGAGAACCACAATAATTGCGATCATGAGATAGGAACTCAATGCCATTTCCGAAGTATCACTAAGCAACACCACCATTGCCGAGCTTGCCTCTTCGCGATTTCGTGGATCCATATTCCCTGGTGTTACGACCCGACAAGTAATAAACGATGTTGCCCCATCGGACAAGGACAGACGCGGCGGCACGGCCTTTGTATAGGCAGGCAAGATCAACTGACGGATGGCTCCCCCAGAAAGGAAGAACTATTATAGTACAGGTTACATAAAGATATGATAACACTGAGTACCCCTGTGTAGGCCACTGAGCGCTTGGTGCCAAGGACGAAGGCTCACCACCAATTAAACAGCATCATAAGAGATATCAGAGGTTGTATTAGTACATAGGATCGACTTTGACGCACTCAATGACAGACTTCCATAACCGCTCAGCAGTAATACATCCTCTAAACACCTAGTATATATGTGACTGAGTGGTGAAATTGACCAGTTAATATATGAGTCATATGTCACGATAGCTTCATGTATTTCCACCCTCTTTAACAGCTCTGTCAGGTGCTGTATCACGTGGTGTTTCACATCCATTCGCCTGTATATAGGACTTCACGTTCTTCACTTTCACTTACATAGAACTAAGCCTTTTAGACCTGAATCCTCATATGCCCTGCTGTGTGCTCTAACTCATGACATTATATTTATGACTACCGAGCGCCTAACTGATGACTGAGTGATCCATAGACGAGCAAGCCGATAAATGCTCCAAAACCTGAATCCCTAATATATGAGCTTTGTTGCATAATTTTAGTTGATGAAACACATGAACCCCAAGCCCAATCATTCTGCCAGTGATGGGAAGATCCATGGTCGTTTGAGTGTGCTAGATGAGGAAGTTTGTCGGAATATCTTCACTCGCCCCTCGGGGGTCGATCGATTGATTGACTTATTCCTACAATATCATGGAATCGCTTCTTATGTGAGCAGGTATGCCAGACAGCCCGACGCATTCAGAAGTTAATCCGAGGCGCCCCATTTTGCAACACATTGACGAGCTGCCACCAGATCTAGCATCCAATGTGCCATTCGATGCTGCTTGAGAAAGCAGTACGGCAATGTGTTAGACCCTCTCGTGGTATCTAGTATTATTTGGGGGTTTTGTTTATTAGGATGCTGCACTAAACAGCCCTCTTCACACAGGGGTGGAAATACTAGAGTTGCGTGGAGAAAAGGGGGGTATCAACGCATTTGGCGATGTTATCCTGGGATATAATATGATGAATCATCTTGCACTCCTACAATACGCCGCATTACAGCAAACTTTGGTCTGCACATCATGCTCATGCGCCAGGATAATACTAGGAGTTTGATCAGGCGCTACCAAGCGGCATTGAGTAAATGGATATACACTTAGCGATACGATCGAAGATACAAACACGAGAACTGCCAGTTGCCAGAAAAGCAGGGATTTCGCTTATGTTGAAGTCTTCCTTGAGCGTCCGCGCGATGCCGAGGCTTATTTCAAGATGATCTAGTTAGTACGAAATAAGACGGAGGAGCATGGGGCACGGGGCTCCCGGTTTTGTCTCCACACATTAGACAATCCAAAGCCTCAATTCGCACCGGAACCCACGGAGGTGAAAACTCAAAAAAGCTGGCAAATTGATAAGCAGTCTCCGCCGAGAGGGGCGAGTGGGCTCCATGGAGGTCCATTATTGACGTCAGTAAGGGGGGCATCGTCGACGTATTTATGTCCTTGCGATTCCGGCGCTCTAAATTCACCTTCAACAGCATCACCACTATTAACCAACTCGAAGACTGATTAACGGAATCCTCACCACACGCAAATCAACCTGCATAGCAACAGTCAGGATGCCCGCCACCATCACCGTTCTCTACCCCAACGAGGCTGATGCCAAGTACGACTTCGAGTACTACATCAACCGCCACATGCCTATGGCTGCCGCGCAGTGGAAGCCGTCCGGCTGCACGGGCTGGTCCGCCATCAAGTACCAGCCCACCCCCGATGGAAAACAGCCCAAGTACTCCTTCGCTGGTATCCTCGTCTTCGAGAGCGTTGACGCTATTCACAAGGCGCTCGCTTCTGCCGAGAGCGCCGCTATCATGCAGGATGTACCCAACTACAGCAACAAGGAGCCTGTGTTAATGATCGGAGACAACGCCAAGACCGTTGTTTTGTAGAGGATGATACCACGAGCAGACTAATCTTGAAGACAGGGGTATAGTCTGATATGAATGGTAGATTTGTTGTTGTTGTTGTTGTTGTTGTTATATTTAACGCCAGGCCGTTCCTGTGTAGGACAAAGGGCGCCTGGGGTTGCGGGCTTCCGCCTAAGTAAGTACAAAAGTAGATACAGTCCCTCTCTGTCACAATCAGTATATCTCATGCTATCGTCTTCTCTTCTGCTTCCACCAACGTCCCAGGAGTTCAACTAGAATTATTCCATGCTGTCAAGTGCCCAAGGCTCTTCAGCTGCCAGGTTCCATACAGTATCCCCCAGTTAATTCGTGTTTCACGTGGATTAGCTAGGGGTTTCCGTGTGTTCAGTTGTACAGTGCTACTTGCACATCCATGTCGTTGTAAAGTCACCCCTCGCTGTCTTTAGCAAAGGGAGTACTTCTAGTACTATATCAAGAAGTCATATACAAAGGAAAGGTAAGTAAGTGTAGTATAAGAGAGAGGGGGGGCTACACTGTCAGCAGCAGTACCGCTTCTAAGGTAGTATAAGGGGAAGGTAGTAGTAGTATAGAAGAGGGTGTAGAGAGCCCTACGCATCTAGCACCATTATTTAGGTTAGCCCTATGTAGCCTAGGTGTTAGCTGCCTTAGGCAGGGAGATGCAATATCAAGGCTATTGGCTGCCTATTACAGAGCCCATGCTGTTGCTATATGTCCCAGCTGCCTAATAAACGCCCGCACTAGTGGCTCTAGCTACTATATGTCTAGGGGTAGACTAGCAGCTGTAGTAGCATAAGTAACAGGTTAAGTATAGTTTTACGCCCTTAGGTATATCTTAGTGTAGAAGTTGTTATTATTTAGTAATACAATAAATTACTAGAATTTCCTAGTTAGTTATTTAATAATATATTCCTCTCTATTAAACTAAGGCATAGTGTGCCCCTTAACCTTCTAGCACTACAGTAGGTATACTAAGGTTTTTAGGTTACTATATATGCAGTAAATATTCGCCTTACTGTAATTAAATCTATTGTAATACTTAGCGAAGTTGCTATAGCCCAATCTTGCTACTATTAGCTAGTGTAGTTCCGTTCTAGTAAATGTCCTAACTTCTGGCGTTAGTTAGAGGCTAGCGCCAAGCTTAAGTAGCTTGTAGCTAGCTAGGTATTGTCTTATTTACTATTCTTTAAAAGCCATTCTTTGCTCCTGTTGTATATCCCTCTTAATATAACTATATATCAGGGGTCATATGTGTAGGTCCACTAGGCCTATCTCTGTCCCCTCTTTTACCAAGGTGTCCACTAGCTCATTCCTGCCTATACTAATGTGCCCTAGTACCTAGTGCACCTAGATCTTTTCCCCACAGCCCCTAGCAGTGTTAATAAAGTCTAGGAAGGCTTCCTGTAAGGACCTTATAGGTGTTCTGTCCAGCCTATGTATTACTGCCGAGTTATCTAGGCACACTGTAATCCTGTCTGTCCCTCTGTTAAGCCAGAGTGTACTTTAGAGCCTAGCCTTAGCCCCTTCTACCTCAGTGTTATATACTTCTCTGCGTAGTAGTTAGTAGTGTCCCTAGTGCACTAGTTCTTTCCCTCTGAATACAGCGTATCTATACCCTGTTTTATTATATAACGTCTATAACCTATCTAAGTAGACCATTAGGTAAGTCAGGGATAGTGTCCTTATCTATTTCTTGTAATCTTTTATAGTGTCTTCCTTGCTTTATCCCTCTGCTTAGTAAGTCAAAAGCTAGTAGTATATCCTACGCTGGAGTTCTAGTTAAGGAAATCCTAGTATAGATTTTACTGCATCTATAAGTATTATCAGACAGACCCTCCCTCCTTTCTAGTTAACTTAGGGGAAGTTCTTAATCCACTAGACCAGGGGGTAATCCTTGTCAAGAGTGCCAAGCTATAGTCTATACCTTTACCTCACAGCTTCCAGTAGGAGCTCTACTAGTAAGGTACTAGATTCCTAAAGGAGGACAAGGGTAAAGGTCATCCTCTAGACCAGTAGGCATCCCTAGATTACAGTGTTAATTACTAACTAGATCTTCCCTATCTATTTAGTTAGGCTATAGTTAACATAAGCTAGCCTATCTTATATTTATTTTCTCCCTTGCCTACTCCTACTAGGGTACTATATCTCTAAGGTATAGAGGGCCTTTAGGATAACAATTATATATAAGGCGTACTATATACTAAGGGGAAAGGCTCCCCTGTATACTCTATTTAGCCCCCTAATATATCCTACAGTTGCCTTTACTACTGCTGTCTATTCCTTAATATGTTTCTTTAGGTCTATTTATCTATCTAAGTAGACCCCTAGCTACCTTATAGTGGCCTTAGGAGTCACTGTTTATAATCTATACTGTATTATAAGGTTGTTAGTCTTCCTTCTCTACAAGAAGTGTAGTACCTCTGTCTTAGACTTGTTAAAGAGTATACTGTTGTCTTATCCCTAGGCTATTGTCTTGTTAAGAAGGGCCTACGCCTAGTCCTGGCTTTCTTCCTCTGTCCTACTAACGCACAGTATACCACAGTTGTCCACGTAGCCAAATTGTAACTAAGTGTTACTAAACCTATAGAGAGGTTCAATATAGTATAAATAGAGTATTAGTAATACTAGTGATCCTTGTAGTAGTCTGTAGTATAGTGGCGTCATTAGTAACATGTAGTCCTTGAAGCAGACCCAGGCCCTCTGTCGTGTTATAAAAGATAGAGCCTAGTTAACTACGTTAACTAGCCACCCCTGTTCCCTTATTACCCTTACTAAGTAGCCACTGTTAACTATATTAAAGGCTCCCTAGATATCTACTGTTATTAGGGTGCAGTATTATCTATTGTTAAGAGTAGCCTCTACGTTATAGGCTAGTGCTACTATAATGTCTGTTGCTGATCTCTTAAGGAGAGCCCCTGCTACTTGTAGGTGCAAGACGCTATGTCCTAGGCACTTCTAGGCTAGTCTCCTAGCTATGAGCCACTCTAGTCCCTTGCTTATTATTAAGAGTAGTAATATTAGTCTTTATCCCTTAGGTGTGCTTATATCCCTGTTGGCCTTAGGGATCATTACTGTCTCTGTGTCCCTAAATAGTATAGGGTGGTGTCCTAGCTCTAGGTATATCTAATATAGCTTGCAGATGTATTCCCCTACGTGTGTCTAGGCTACCTATAGCATAGAGACTGTAATTCTGTCTACTCTAGGAGTTATATTCCCTGTACTAAGTAGGGCTACTTCTGCCTCCTCTAATAGCATATAGTTATTCTATTTAATTATCCTCCTTGGCACCGTAGGCGTATATAGGTTAATGTTAGTGCTAGCGTTAAATTACTTAAGTAGTTACTATTAGAGAACTCTTGCTTTCTCAGCTAGTGCAGTGGCTATATCCTTACTGTCCTACAGAAGAGGTAACTAGAACTAGGTGCTAGGCTTATACTAGCCTATTACCTTGTATAGGTCTTTGTCTGTCTCTATCTTGTTAATCTAGTCTGTCTAGTATTTAGCCTTGGCTCTATATACTACCTTCTAGAGTTCCTTTGCTGCCTTGTTTATATCCTCTCTACTGCTGTTCTGTCTTGCGTCCTAGTGTATCCTCCTTGCCTCTTAGCACTCATTGTCCTACTAGGCTACTAACTTCCCCTTTATCTACTGTGTACCTGTTGCTGCTGCTGTGTGTTATAGTAATTCAGTAAGTGCCTTTGTAGCCTAGTTAAGGTCTACTGTAGTCTCTGTCCTGTTAGGCAGTACCTATAGGGTACGTCCTACTTTGTCTATAAACTTCCTAATTCTTTCTAGTGTGTCTACTCTTACTCTAGTGCCTGTTTTTAGCACTATCCTAGTTAGGTTAGGGATTGTTGTAAGCAGGGTTAAGTAGTCTGAGCCTGTGTGCAAGTAGTCTGCCACCTGTGTTAACGCTAGGGGGATGTTTAAGAAGGCTAAGTCTAGAGTGTTCCCCTTGTTGTAGGTTAGGATTCCTGGGGGGCTAATAAGTGACAGTTGGTGCATGTTAGCCTAATCTACTAGTCAGGCTGACCCCCAGCTTGGTGTGACTCCTGGCTGCTATATTAGGTGCCACGCGTTAAAATCCCCTGTAATCAAGGAATTGTCTAGGGGGGTCTAGGCGTCAAGAGCGTCTAATATAGTCTCTGTCCTAGGTTCCCTGTATATGTTAATGTAACAGCGACCCTAGATCATTACTCCTAGTATGTCTTGCAGCGGGCGCTGGGTGATGTAGAAGGTTGTTGTGTTTAAGTGTGTATTTTGGACGTAGGTCATAACCCAGGGTCTTGTCTCTGTGTCCCTCTATTCTATGATTAGCAAAAAGAGCGTGTAGTTAGGGGTTGTCTTTGTCTTTAAGCGTCTGTTGTTTGAGTACTATAGTTCTTATATTATAATAATGTTAACCTGTTCCTGGTCAGCAAAGGTAAAGGCCACGTTATATGTTAGCCTAGATTGTCTTATGTTTATATAGAGTATCCTTAGTTATACTACTATCTAGAGTAGTAGTAAGGAGGGTAGCGCTAAGGTGCTAAGTTTAATTAGAGGCTTTAGTGTAGTGCCCCCTTCTAAGACGTCCTCTATTTCCCTGTCTAGCTGCTAGAAGACGTCTAGTTTATTATTATAGGTATTATTTATTACTTGTTGTTACTATGCCTCTGGTCCTAGACTCTTTATAGTCCTTCTGTCTATTGCTTAGGGGGGTTAGTAAGGCTCCTTTTGCGCTGTTATAAACTGTTTTCTCCCCTTCTGTCTAATAATCTGTCTCTGCCCCTTTGACGGCCTTGTAATCACGCTGCCTTCCCTAGTTAGCTAGAGGGGGTAGTCCTTATGATTACTCTTAAAGGGACCCTTGCAGTTAGCACACTGCTGTAGCTTATTATAGGGTTTGTTTCTGTGGTCTATTTCTAGGATACTGCAGTTTTTATAGAGCTACTGTTTAGCGTATAGCCTTGCCCTGTGCTAGTCAAAGTATATGTTGTATTAGGCTAGTTTAAATTAATGCTAGAGTTACTGTAATAGTAGGCTATTAAGGAGCCTAAAGGGTTTTACCCCCTCTTTTAGAGCAATAATCTAAGTCTAGGTTAATTACGCTATAGTGCCCTTAGTAATATAGCACTTCTCTGGTTTCTATTTTATAGCAATATACACCTCTGTCTAGATCATCTCCTCTGTTACTGCTAGTAGGT